GGTTCTCTAATGTAGCATATGTGTGTGGTAACTAAGTGTCGAATGAAATGCGTTGATTATTTGACGAATTTTCTGTTAACGACCGAGTCGTGACCAACTTCAAATCTCAGGTGTGGTAATATTGCAAGTGTGTTATGCCTAGACGAGCAACTGAAGATGGACTTCCGTACTTTCCATGCGGCCCCAGCAGAGGAGAGAGCCCTTCCAGCAAGGAAACCAATGCCTGACTACTTCCTGTAATTGTTTCTACGTTATCTGTGTTCCGTCTTGTGTTACGTAGTGATGAATATATATCATTATTTCACAGACCAATAGCAATCAACGATTTATCCCAACTCTTTTGAGGGCAGATCATTGTTGAGAATCATCGTGGCCGAATGACCGAGCACTGCGTCGTTACGGCCACGGTCTATAGTAGGCCGTGTTCACGTGATACTACTCGAGTGATGAAGTCGAAGTTTAACAGTTAATGGATCCGGGAGGTACCGCACTTCAACCCTGGCTTGAATGATCATTTTATGTAACTACTCATCTACCTATCGGTGATACGGTCTTACCAAACTACATCGGGGCAGAAGCCTTTTATGAGGACCCCCGGTACCGCCCTTCTTTCAACCGCCGGGAAATTAAGGATAAATGACTCCGTTTTTTGCGTTCAGTTCGAGAAGGTTTCATGCGCGGGGATGATGCACTGTCTATCTCACCAATGGCGCATATGACACACTAGAGCAGCGTACACAACACAAGTAGAAGGGTACCAAGGACATCATTCGATCATTATGCGGTGGGAGCATGGCTAATGCTTCGTCTCAGGCATCTTAGGATCGACCCAATCGGGTTGGTAGCATGGCTGATAAGGCTTATCCTTAGTGTAGGCACGGGGATCGCAGTTCTTCTTACGTGACTGGGAGAGTGAATTGTCAACACCACCCCGAATAGTGGCTGGTTTACCTTAGCTGAAGGGGAACCGCTATTGGAGGCCTTAGTCGATTCAGACTCATGAGCTTTCTCCTACAACAGAGAAAATACTGTCATGTCTACCCTGTTGGTTACCTTACCCCAATGACCAGGAAAGACCCCTTCTCAGCAGCAGCTGCCGCAGTAAGCTTGGCTGCCTGAGCGACATCGCCCACTTTGTTCTCGACCGGAGTGGGCTCTTCGGGCAGCTTATTGGCGAAACGTGCAACCTGAGGGAGTGGGACATGCTCCGACATCTCGGAGGTTCAGGAGTTTGTTACCTCATCCCAGAGCTCAGAACCCGAGGATCGATGAGATATGTCCAACTGTACTTTCTGAGGGAAGAGAACGACAATCGACTCGTTCC